AGTCAGTGACCAAGTATACTGACAACAGGCATGGTTGGTGGTGACCAGTAGCTATTTGAACAGAATGCCAAATTCACCTTTGGCTTTACCTCCCATGTCTCACCTCCATGTATGAATGAAAATGAGTGTCTATACAGACTTCCATCTGGTAGTGTTGGAATCAAGACAGCTTCGGTTTATCTCCCCTCCGTAGCACACTCCTGCACGGGGTCTCATCTATTTGCCCTTGGGAAATAGATGTCCAGCAATACGGAGCACTTGAGAGTGTGGTGCAGTTCAGAAAAGGCCAACACAGTTTTTCCTGGAACTAGTCTCCATCCAAAAAATTCCACCAAGCTATGAAATGGAAAATAGCTGCTAAGAATTTAGACATGCAAGTATTTCAGCTCTCTAACAGAGCAAACTACAGTGTCATCTCGATGGGGGACAGTGGGACAAAAGGCCAACTCTCGCCTGAATTGACTCCTCCCAGCTGTTGAACGGTAAACTCCCAGATTGCCCAATCCAGTTAGGAAATGCAGTTTATTTGGACCTCACACACAGCACAGCACCTCTTTTGTGTAACAAGGTACCAGCAACAGTGTCTGTGGGCATCATGGCCAGCGTGGTTCTGAGCGGATCCCCCATTTCCCTGGGTTCCCATTTCCTTCACTGTTGCATGAGACAAAGTAGCACCTGTGGACATTTAAGGAGCAGCATAAGCCGTGTGCAGGTTTGGAGTTCACCTGCCAGGCTCTGGGTTTCCTGATTCTCATTCTACCAACAGGCCTACTGCACAGGTGATCGCCTTCATTGTGCCCTTTTCATTGCTAGTAAGATGCTAGAATATAAGGTGTATAGTTTGATACACTGGTTGGAGGGGTCTGTGTGAGTTAATGTCACCTCTTGTTCTAGGTTGCTTTTTTTTCTGCCTTTGCATACCTGTCCCTCATCACCTTCCTGTTTCTCTGCTTCCTTGTAAGTGAAGCAAACACAAGTCACTTGCATTCCAAAAATTCTTCGCTGCCACATATCCAGGCGGTCAGCTCGCCAGCTCTTGCGTGATCCAGATAAGTGGAGTTCGCTTAGCTTGTGACTCTGCCTTGCTAGAGGATTTCCTCAGGACCCGGTGCCCTTCGTGATCAGAACGGCGTGCCCTGGCATAATGCCCGGAGAGACCAGCAGCCAGAGAAGTCGAGCGTGTCTCACCAAGTAACCCTGCCTTCCATCCAAGACAGAAATAGTCTGGGTGTCAGCCCAAGTCCCCAGCATAGTTCCAGCAGGCCCACTCTGCCTGGCTGTCTTGACTGTCCTGGTCCTTTATGTGTTGGGGAGGATCTGAAAGACAGGCTGCTCTACCCTTTGTGAACAGAGGGAATCTTGTGCCATATAAGATGAGCAGGGTCATGGGGACAGCAGACTGTCATGTGTGAGTGTCCCTTCATAGAGCTGGCCGTGTAGCTGGGACCTGGGAACTCCTTTGGCCCTGTCTATTCTCCCTTTCATCCCTCCGTCTTATTTTGGTCAAGTGTCACACTCCCAGCCTCCCACTTGAACTTTCCAGGAACTAAAGGTTCTGTCCTCTGCCAGTCCTGGTGGTGGCAGTGGGAGGGTGTCCCTGCCAGTCCTGGTGGTGGCAGTGGGAGGGTGCTGGCAGGTGCTGCCACCCTGCAGTACGCCATGCCCGGGTCCTGAGTGCCCCACTCGTACAGGTGGGGCTCAGTGCTCATGTTCTGTAGGCAACATGGCCACAATAGTCCTAGCTTGCAGATCTTTTAGTCTCCCACTTTTCAGCTACAGATCGGAGGTGAACCTATGGGCATTTGGGAGGACAAGCCACTCTGCACCACTGCCTAAGCCAAAAAACCCTCATCTGCAACAGGCCCTGTCCCTCCCTTTAAGGCCAGTGGTAAAAATGTTGAAGACCCACACAGGTTGACTGGGAAGACTGGGTGTATCAAAGGGGCCAAGAGGACAAGAACTTAGGTAAATTCTCAGAGCAGGGCCACCTGTTCTGGGATATCCCAGATACAAACAAGCCATGGGCCTGTGCTGAATAAGTAAAGAAAAAAAACGGGGTGAAAAGCAGAAAATGGCAGCTGTAGTAAACGAATGGAGACTTTGGATTCAGGGAGGCAGGAAAGCCTTTGGGGAAGGTGGAGGCTGCACGTGTGTCTGCAGGAGATGGGGGCTGATGGAATGGCCTGCTGCCGCCCACCACTTGCCTCTGGTTGCCCGCAGAATTCTTCAAGTCAACCGCTCTCTCCTCTGGCAGCCACTGAACCTCTTCTAGGTGCTGGAGCGTGCTGAACACTACCACCGGAAAGTACTAGTGGCTCTCATGGACTGTGGGGGCCCTGGGCCCTAGCACTTAACAGATAACCAGTATGCAGCAGCTTGTAGATGTTGCTTGGTGCTGTGCAGGAAGAGTGTGTGGTCTGAGCTGCCCACACCTCTCCAGCTCCGCCTTGTTTGTGCATGCTCTGCTTTTTTTCTTATTCTGGGACTCTGGACAATTGTAAAAGTCTGTACAGAGGATATAGGAAGTGATGGGTCTGGTCTGGCCCCACAGTTGATAAGTGCCACACCTTGGAGGTGATGTTATCATAGCAGAGGACTTTTTCTAAAGTGGAGCCACAAAGAATTCACTCAAGTGTCAAAGGGAACAAGGAATGTTCATAGAAGGGCTGTGATCAGTGGAGTGAAGTCAGGTGACAGTCCCCTCCCCAGCCACATAGAGACAAGTTGGGGTTTTTCGTTTGTTTTTGTTTTTGTTTTGTTTTGTTTTGTTTCAGGGCTTGGGACCTGCTTTTGTCCCAGAGACTTCTGACTATAAAAAAGCACTCCTTAGAGACCAGGGCTGTGTTTGGTGACTTGATTCCTTTCATGGGCCACTGTATATCAGGAACCTCTACCCTCCTTGCAGCATTGGAGAGGTGTGCCTGTGACCTCGAGGTACTTTTCCACCTAACTGCTCTAGGGAGTTTTGGCACCCTGTGTAGACAATGACAGTGGTGTTGTGACTCCGTGCAGCCCGGCATTAGGACACTGTGGCTTTGACAGCTTTGCTCGGCCATGAGTTCCCTTGGAGTAGTACACCAACTCCACTCATGATCACTCTGGCACCACCCCTGTGCCACTAGGTTCATACAGGTATGCCATAGGAGTCACTTCAAGTGGGAGCACACCTCATATTCTTAACAGGAGGGCTCTCTGAGCTGTTGTGGCTAGGGACTTTCATTCCTGTTCCTCAGAGAGAAGTGTGCTTGCCTCCACTGTGGGTTATACCCCTTTCACTCTGCTGGCCTGGAACCTGGGGTATGTTCCTTGGACATCAGGAGAGCACAGAACTTGTGTTCTGCTCAGAGCCACATCCAAAAGCCCTACTTTTGGATAGTTCATAGCAAGCCCAGTCAGATGCCTGAGCCATCTGATACACAAACTGGGTAAGGACTTTGTGTCTTCTCCGTGTCACCCTGTCTTTCCTCCCCAGGCAGCCTGGGATTGATGGCCTGCTGTGCAGATGTACTTTGTCACTGGAAATGCATAGTTGCACTGCCTACAGTCCAGCTAATACAAGGCTTGTCATAATACAGTGTGTGTATCACTCTGTCAGGGAACAAATGACAGGGACTCTGGAGGAGCCAAGCAGCTCAGGTTGCACAGCAGGCAGAAAGGCCGTGGAGAGCCTAGTGGAACATGCCAGGTGGGATTCCTGCTGACCTTTCGAGGAGTGCTGTAGCAGGAAACCTCCAAAGCAGGACTGGCTGGGGAGAAGGGGTGTCTGGGAACACCTGTTCCCTTAGGTACAGATGCCTTCCTGAGGTAGAAATGGGGGAGGGGGTTCTGTCCCTCTTTGGGTCTAGCATGGTACTTCTGTGCTCCGTCAGGTGACATACAGATCAGCTGCATCACATCCCAGCTCTGTGGTCTTGAGCAGGCAGTCTGGCCTCTGAACATCCTATTGCTCTGGAAAATGAAAATGGGTGTGTGCGTGCGTGCGTGTGTGTGTGTGTGTGTGTGTGTGTGTGTGTGTGTGTGTGTGCGCGAGCCTGTGTGTTAGCGTTTATCTGTGAATCCAGCATTAGGAAGGTAGAGGTGGAGGATCAGAAATTGAAGGTCATCCTCTGCTACATGAAAAGTTTCAAGCTAGGTTAGGCTACATGAGACGCTTTCTTTACAAAAAATAAAAATAAAACAAATCTACTACCACTTTGTGCTTCCTGATCCTCCAAGATGAAACTCAAGCTCCTGTGCGTTCATGAGACCACAGACTGATCCCACCACAAAACTATGAACTAGAGGAAAACCTTCCTGCCTTACAAACCAATGACAACAGCAGTAATTTCTGTCAGAATTAGTGGGAGGATTTGGCATTCTGCTTCTAGTTAAGAGCTTACTTAGTACAGTGTCTGGCACATGGTAGGTCTTCACTGTGATTGTTACTGACATTTTGGTATCATTTCAATATGCCTTTGATTTATATAATCTTAATATTCACTCACACACACACACACATACACACACACACAAGATAGGGTTTCACTGAGTAGTAGTCCTGGCTGTCTTAGATCTCACTCTGTAGACCAGGCTGGCCTCAAACTCACAGAGATCCGCCTGCCTCTTCCCCCCAAGAGCTGGGATTAAAGGCGTGTGCCACCTCCTCCCTGCTTTCACACCTTCTTAACAGACGAACTAATGATAGAGTTACCTTGATTTTGGTGAGGATTTCTAGCATTAGAAGATGCAGAGTAGGGGCTGGAGAGATGGCTCAGAGGTTAAGAGCACCGACTGCTCTTCCAGAGGTCCTGAGTTCCAATTCCCAGCAACCCCATGGTGGCTCACAACCATCCGTTATGAGATCTGGTGCCCTCTTCTGGTGTGCAGATAGACATGGAAGCAGAATGTTGTAAACATAATAAATAAATAAAAATCTTAAAAAAAAAAAAAAACAAAGATGCAGAGTTTGTTCTTAGCTGCCCAGCTCAGCTATAAGACAGCCAAATGTGAAGGGGGAGGGGTTAGTATTGACGCATGTCGTGAGTTTGTGTGTCATACTTGTACAGAGGCCATGCTATCTTCTTTGTATTGTTCCATTTTAATATATGTGCTGCTGAAGTGAGAACACATGTATAGGTTTGGTTTTTGGTTGGATGTTTGTTTTTGAGACAAGATCTCATTATGAAGCCTTGGCTGGCCTGGCACTCGCTCTGGAGACCAGGCTGGCATTGAACTCACAGAGATCCGCCTGCCTCTGCCTCCTGAATGCTGGGATTAAAGGTGTGTGCCACCAACACCCACCCACATAGGCAGATTCTTGGGGCTTGTTAAGAGTGCAGGCAACAGGGCTAGAAAGACGGCTCAGTGATTCAGAGCATTTGCCACTTTGGCAGGATACCTGGTTCCCGTTCCCAGCACTCACCCGATGTCTCACAACCATCTGTTAATTTTAGTTCCAGGGATCTGGCACTGACTTCTGGACCAAGGGTGCTGCTGCATATACATACATGGTCCACAGACATATGTGCCGGCAAAACACTGGTGCACGTAAATATTGTTTAAGTAAATTTCAGGTCTACACAGTCAGGCGTGATGTCACAGTTTGTAATCCAGCACTTGAGAAGTAGTGGCAGAGGGATCAGGAGTTCAAGATCAGCCAAATGGCAAGTTCCAGGCCAGCCTCGACCCTGTCTCCAAAACCTAAAAAGAATGCACCCTGTGGAAGCAGCCAGATGGAGGAGCGCGGGCAGTGCACACCTGCTATTGCCGTATTAGGGGAATAGGCACGCTAAACACAGTGCCGAGATGGCACTAAACACAAGCCACTCTGCTGAGATAGGGCCCGTACCTTCAGTGCCCCGAGAAGGGGAGCAGCACTCTTGCTCTTGGTTTTTGGGCCAACCTCACCACCCCATACATACCCTATTTGGTAAGGTGATGGCAGCAGATCCTCTGCAGGAGTTGCAATGGTAGTAGTCTGGGCATATATCCCAAAGGAATGCTGCTGCTGCTGCTGCTGCTGCTGCTGCTGCTGCTGCTGCTGCTTCCAGAGAGCCAGTCCTCAGTATTGCTTGCTGTCCATCCTGTCTGGGTAGAGTGTTTTAACATGCTAACACTGTCAATTACTCCAGAGGAAGGAAAAAAGGCTAAAGTGCTGATTGTGTGTGTGTGTGTGTGTGTGTGTGTGTGTGTGTGTGTGTATCCAAATATAGAAAGTAAAATCATAAGCAACTCCAAGTTTGTCTGGGGGGAAGTATTGATTCACTGCTTAAAAGAAAATCAGAAGAACCAAGTGCCGGTTATGCAGGTTATACAGTGGTGTAGCCTTACTTAATTAAGGGCCTTACAGAAGGATTTCTGGCCAAGAGGGCTGCTGGAGGGGAGAGAAAAGCTCATTTGGATATTTAATTTTTGCCCATACATAAAGCTGGGCGTGGTGGTGTATGCCTCCTCTAGTCCTAGCAATCTGGAGGCAGAGGCAATTGGATCTCTGTGAGTTCCATGCTAACCAGGGCTATGTATAAAAACCCTGTGTTGGGGTGGGTGAGGGGGGGATTAGGCCAAGAGTTGATTCTCCCTCAGTTTTCAGACTCCTGTAAGATATTGTGGTGCTGGCCTCTCTTGGGAACTGGATGGTTGAAAAGTGAAAATGAGCCATTCATATCAAACTAGTTTTGAGCAAGCCTAAAAACTCTGTCAAGTATATTGCCTGTTGTCTGCACACTTAGTAAGCTCATGATGTCATGCTTGGTCATAGCCAAAAGGACAAAAAAGGAATAGTAATCTGCTGAAAGAGGGACTAGATCTTGCTTTTGTCTGTTTTGTAGAGTGCACAGTAGTCAAGACTATGTAGATTGGGCTGGCCTCAAACTCATGGCTGTCTCTGGAGTGCTGATCTTAAAGGTGTATACCATCGCACCCATGCTTGGCTTGCCTTTTTTTTTTTTTTTTTTTTTTTTTCAGTATCATACGTGACCATGGTTAAAAATTCAGTGGTGGCTAAGGGCTTGGTTACATAGAAAAAGCAATTGTGAGTAGCTAGAAAGATTGCTTAAGTGGTGGTGAAGAATGTGGGCTCCTTTTCCAGAGGCCTGGGTTTGGTTTCCAGCACCTAGCCTTGGGTCACCTGCACTCATATGCACACACATACACTATTTAAAGTAATGTCTTTTTGTTTTGCTTTTAAGCAGTCACAGCATTTCCGGGACAAGTTTTATTCCTAAAGCTTCTTTTTGTTTTGCCTGTATTGCCCCCTGGTTTCATTGCTACTCATGGAATTTAGGTAGTGGAGAGACCTAAATTTTAGAGACGTAAATTCTGGGTTCTGGGCTGCCTTCTGGAGCTACATTTAGGAATGTGTTGTTCCCCTCCAAAGCAAACCAGGGCACTGGAGCCCGTTGTATACAAGTCCCCTCCCCTGCTCTTGATGCTGGGCTACATTTAAAAAACTGGAGAGCCAGAGTATGTTCAAATACCCTATTGAAACGGTAAAATACAGCATGCTTAATGAAGATCAGGTCTGGGAAGCTCTCCACCTTGTATGTGTTACTTCATCTGTCAATCTTAGCGTTCCCATCCGTGCCGAGGAGCTAGTGGCCACCTGCCTGAAGGGGTTATTGTCAGAACTGTGCAGATGCGGAGCCAGCACTGAACATCTGGGCCTCATTGTGAGCGAGCACTTACCACATGGCTCATTATTGGGATTATTGTTGGGTACCGACTCCCTGGGCCAGATGCTAATCTTAAACAGCACCCCAGACAGATATGTATGCACTAAGGAGGGAACTGAGAGGTTCTGACCATTCTTTAAATGGCCTCATGACTATTAGTAGTCATTTATGTGTGGAGAGAATACTTGCCATCCTCTAATTCCCATTCTTAGTTGTAGCTCTGGTCCCTAGAGCCATTGGAACAAGATTGTCCTCCATGGCAGTTGTTCATGTGTGTGTGTGTGTGTGTGTGTGTGTGTGTGTGTGTGTGTGTGTGTGTGTGTGTGTGTGTGTGTGTGTAGGAATGCACAACTTTCTCGTGCAGAGGCCAGAGGTTACCGCCTCAGGTATCTTCCTCACTTGGGTCATTTTTTGAGACCAGGTCTTACTGAATCTGGAACTTGCTGTTTTAGCTAGATTGGTTGCACAGGCAGCCCCCAGAGAAAATGCTTGAAACC